TGTACCTGACCTGTAGTTGATTTTGTTCTTTAGAAATAGTGGTGTGTTGGTAAATGTTTAACAACTGAGTGAAGGAAAGGTGGGAGTGGGTGTTGATTTATAGTATTTGCCAATTTCCATGGTATAAACACCCCTATCATGGCTTATTTCAGGCTACCAAGGTGACATCACCAAACACAGCACTGGGAAGAAATTCACACAACTGGCTCTCACAAGCGTTTCTGAGCTTGGTCCAGAAACAACATTGATCAACTGAAAAGAAAAGTCTGCATGGTTGTCCAGGCAATAAATGTTTATTGAAGGCCTACTATGTCCTAGGCATTAGGAATAAAGAGGTGATCGAAACAGATCCAAAACCTGCACTCAAGGAGAGTGTATTCTATTATAATGGAGAAGTTAGATAATAAGCAACAAAGTATATACAGTGATGATAGGTGCTATTAAGAAAAATAAAACAGGGTAAAGAGCAGAGGGTGATGGGCCACACTCTTTTAAAATAGTGTAATCAAAGAAGGCCTTTCTGAGAAGGCAACATTTAAGCAGATTGGCAACCAATAATAGTTAGTAGAAGCTAAGTCTCATACAGCACTTGCTATGTGCTAGGCACTCTTATGATCAGATTACATATATTCATATATGAACCAAATTCCAGAAGTGTCCAAAATAAGGACAGATTTAATTCAATAAAAATAATGTTATAGGACTGGCTGAGTGGCGTGATGGTTAAGAACTGGCTTGGGACGCCAGAGGGCCCCAGTTTGGATCCCACATATGAGGGCCAGTGACACTGCCCTCCACAGCTAAGATGCTGAACAACAGCTCAACCTGGAGCTGGGCTGCCATGAGTCGCCGTTGCGTAGGCTGCAGCCCCTGTGGCAGTGGGTTGCCATGGGCTACCGTATGTAGCCAGCAGCCAGCGTGAGCAGCCAGCAGCCGCAGTGAGCAGCCGTCCAGAAGCCGGCGACTGATCTGCCTTGCCCGGGAAGAGCATAATAATGGTGCCAACTTGGGCCAGTGAAGCAACGTCCTCCACAATTAGACTGAAGAACAAAAGGACAGCAACTTGTCTGTTCCCCTTCCCCCAATTACCCAGCACTGTTCCCCTCCCCGCAATTCCCCAATAAAAATCTTTAAAAAAAATAATAATGTTATAGCTCTCCAAACATATGTCTACAGCAGAAGAAAATGTGACAAAGGCAGGACATTAGAAACAGGCAAGGCAGAGAGACGCAAGCTGGCTACATGGGAAGAATGTGATTTGCATTTGACTCTCACCCAGCCCCATTAGCTGTGGTACCACCTCTGGCAGGGAAACCAGTTGTGAGACGACAACCTCAAGAATGTGTGGGGAAGCGGAGACAAGGTTTACACCCAGGAGATTAGGCGGTTTAGGAGGGGTTTACACGCTGCCTTTAATTATGATGTTCACTATCTTCCCAACAAGAGCCATATTTAGGAGAACCACCTTAAATGTGTGGTTCATTTTATGGTCTAGGTACTTTCATTTATTGTCACAACCACTCTATGGAGTAACTAGGGCAAGAAATAACCCCCTTTCACAGATTAGGAATCTTGAGTTCAGTAAGCAAGAGAGTCAGGACAGGCTTACTGGCTCTAAATCAAATCAATTCAATAAATATGTATTGAGTGCCTGCGATGGCTCAGGCATGGCACAGGTGGTGGCATGACTATCCACCTACTGCCCTGAGGGTTGATGCCACACTCTCATTGGCTCCCCACACATGTACCAGGGTAGCACACCCCGACTGACTGACGTATATTGCAGGCAGAGGAGGGAGGCGGAGAGAGGTGGGACCCCTTCCTTGTGTAGCAGTGGATATAGAATCTCACACCCCTGCCTTAGCTCCCTCCTTCAGCAAGAAAGAGCAGAGGTCATCTATTTCTGATTTTTCTACTTCCCCATTGAAAAAGTAATCTCAAAACTAGTTTCCCTAACAACTGAAAATCTTTCTGCAATACTACATACCAAAATACTTTGTAATCACCATTCTTTAAATCCTGAGAGATCTCTTCTCCCCAAATACATGCTGTCATTGTTCTCAATTAAATGAGTAAGAGCTGGAGCAGCCGAGAGGAGCCGTGCTCCCTGGCAGAGCCCTGGGGCAGATGAAAGCGTGGACTCAGTGGGTCAGAGGAACATGTCCCCAGGGACACCATCTGAGAACACATTGAGAAATCTGAGTTGAACCAGGTGTCAGAAGACCCACTGAGCCTTTTAAATGGTTAAGGGAAGGCTGTGATCAGCAGACTGAAGGGCTGCTGAAAGATCAAAGGCGCCGTAAAGCGAGAGACTACACAAATCATCCATAAATAACAATTTGTCTTCCTTAAGGACCAAAGCACTAGAGCTAAAAGCCTGAATGAGTATATTTAGGCTCCATCAAATATCGTCTGAAAAACATACGTGGATATGAGAGTGGGGGAGGGGTGTAGTAATAAACACGATTCTATGGTCCGTGAACACTCATTAAATCTCTTCTGGAGCTATGAGGAAAATGGAATTAGGCGCTCCATTTTACAGCCAAAAGAACTGATGTTAAAGGAGTAAATTGTTGAAACCTTATTAAGTAGATGAACAAAAATGAAAAAAGAAAATTCCAAATATTTTATTCCTTAGGCCTATTCATCAGAGAACGTATCCTTTATCTCACATGATGGTTATCTAGTTACTTTCAGCTTGAGGAAAGATCTGAAAAATGGCAAAATGCCTAATCTATTGGCTCTCTTGGGGAAAGAGTAGGGGAGATAAGAGGTTTTCCTATCAATGGAATACCAAGATTGACTTTCAGCTAGGAACCCAGCCAATCTATTACTTCTTTCCCATTGTGAAGAAATACTATAAATGGACACACTAAGCCCTAAAGAAACTGGTTAGAGGGGAAAGAAAAATCAAAACCCAAGTGTAGAAAAGCAGAGAAGTAGGATCAGTTTGTGGGTTTTCTATCCAAATCCACCTAATTACACATGAGTCTGGGTTGGCAGCTTGACATCAGCTCGTAGTCCCCGGGCTCCCAGGCTGAGCCTGCTCAGGGACCAGTAGCAGAGCACCAGATCACCCTTTTATGAGCAACCCGGGTTTTCCGTCCTTGTGCCCAAAGCAGACCCCTCCTAAAATCTAAGTGTACTTGTCTTTTTAAAATTGCTGCTTCGGAGGAATGTCCGAGACCCAGTTACTCTTTGTTCCTGCTTAACACGCAGCTTATCACAGTCCCTCCTCCCTGCCCTTGGCCTTATCCTCTTCCTTTCCCACTGACCCCACCCAGAAAGGACTGTATTTCATTGTCTGTAAATAACTCAGTCATGCTTTCTGCACCCAGGACATTTTAGCAAAAAACCAAAATTATAATACTTGGTGACATTTACAAAAACAGCTGAGAAGAAATCTTGTGGACCTCAGTCTTGCTCTCCTCTGTAAGCAAGGAAAGCCAAGAGAGACTTCCTCCACTTTGGGTAAATTTTAAGGGGATGCATCTTCTCCCTGCTTATGCTCTCTCCCCTACTTCGGTTTCACTCCCAGCCCCACCTACTCCCCATGCCCTCCTCCCCTCTGACTGACCTTCAAGGATGGAGGGTGCCGCTCTACTGCAGACTGGGAGTCCAGGCACAGGAAGATTCCCAGGCTGGAGACCGTGCCCACGGCCTGCCCCTCCTCTTCCTCTGTGTCAATCAGCCCCTTCTTCTCTGCCAAGCCAGCTGTCTGCACCTGGATGGCTCTGTCATTCTGCTTCCTCACTCTGCCTGGCCACAGGCCAGGTTGGCATGGTCCTGCCAGGGGTCTACGTAGACAGTTGGAGCTGGGTGGGGGTATAGAGGGGCCTCTGGCCCCACCATGCCTGAAGCAGCAGGCCATGCTTTGGCTTCACCTAGCTTTTCACCCAGTGTAAACTGATCTTCAGGCTTCCAGGGAGCTTCAGAGTATGTGCCCTAGCCAAATGAACAGGCCTATTGCAAAGTATTTCTATCAATGAGCCGATATGGGTGGGCATATCTGTAGACCAAAGTCAATATTGTCATCACATCTAAATAATGTCTTTAAGATGCAATTATACATACTCAACAAAAATAGCAGATTTTTTTCAATAACCTTCCATCCACTTAAAGTTCTGAGACTTCCCAAAGTTCATTTAGTGTCTCATAAGTCTTCACAGAGCCACATCTCCAAGTACCAGATTTACACTGTGGTACACATAGCAGGATGCTTAAATCTGTACCTCCTTATGTTAAGCCTTTTTAGTTATAAGCAACAGAAAACCAAATCTACTGACTTAAGCAGAAAGAGGGAATTTTTTGGAAAATACATGCATAGCTCACAGAATCAAGTGAAAATAGTGAAGGGAGGATTGAATAAGGTGGTGCTGAGACCCTAGGCTGCAGGAGGTCACCACCCTCTCCAAATGCATTGCCATACCCTGTGCATTAGTTTTCTGCTGCTGCCATAGCAAATTACCACAAATGTAGTGGCTTAAAGCAAAATACTAGATTTTGTAGTTAACAGTTCTGTAGGTCAGAAGTCTGGCATGATTCAACTGGGTTCTCTGTTCAGGATCTCCCAAAGCCAAAATCAAAGCATTAGCTATGCTGCCCTATCTGGGTGCTCTAGGAGACAGTCCATTTATAAGCTAACTTAGGTTGTTGGGTGAATCCACTTCCTTGTGATTACAGGAGTGAGTTCCCCACTTCCTGACAGGGAGGGACTACTGCAGTTTTTTCACACATAACCCCTTCCAGCTTCAAGTCAGCAATGGGGTATCAAATTCCCTTCTGTCCCACTTCAGATCTCTTCCGCTTCTGCTGCTTTTAAGAGACCAGATGATTAGATGAGGCTCAACCAGATAATCTCCCTATCTTAAGGTCAACTCTGCAATATAATGTAATAATCATGGGAGTGATGTCTTATCATCTCATCATATTACAGCTTAGGGGAAGTGGATTAGAAATTCTGCCTGTCACATTGGGACTCAGCTCCATAACTTTTAGCCTCTATCTATCTGTGTCACACTGCACGTTCTCAGGAGAGAAACTCAGGTTGGCCAACTTGGGTCAAGCGTCTACCCCCATCAATCAGCTGTGAACAGGGGATGGGCTCATACAGAAGAGGGGCCAGCCCCTGGATATCAGCAGCTGCACCGAGCGAGGGGGAGATTGTTGGGAGATGGACAAAGATCACAAGAGGAATCTTTCTGGAAGCGGGAAATGAGGGCAGTGACGGGAGAGGAGAACCCCGTGCAGCACAGCTGGAAGACAAGTCAGCTGAATTGAGGTAAAGAGCCTAAGAAGAGCATGAGCATGGTTTATGTGTTCATATTTTGTCCTTGTATTTTCTGCCTGGGTTAAAAATCTGTGGTGTCGACGCCATCAAAAACATAGAACTATAACTTGTTTTAATGAGTGCCTAACTGCTCTGAGAGTTGTCTGTCTGTTTTTCCTCTGGTGAGTTGGAGATTTGTATGCTCCCTTATCTGTCCCTCTGAGGGATAGGGTTTATAGCAGCACCCCCACCAGCAGGGTCAGTAGACAGCAGTCCAGAGCTAAGCAGAAACTCTTTGGGTTTCTTTAGAGTATTTTCACATCCTTTCTGCCACTCCCAAGAAAACCAGGATTTGGGAGGCATTGTCCTTGTGATTTTACAGACTTCAAAAGTGAAGTCGTCCTCCAAAAGTAATGGTTCTCTTTGAGGTGATCAACAAGGCTCTTGGAGAACAGCCCTCAGGAGTATTTTCTTACGGTAATGGTGATAAATGAATGGCCCACTTTTGTATAGAAGCATTCATACTTTTTAAAGTAAGAAGGCACCACTGAATTATATGCCTTGTTAGACTTATTTGGTGGGGGGGTGGGGAATGTACAGTTGGCAGCATTTGCTAAGAGCCCATTTTGTGCAGACTTCACTGGGAGAATTGGAGAGAGAGGAAGAGAACCAAAGAGACACTGGGAGATAGTGGAGGAGACAGGACCAAAGCATATCATGCCTGAAACCGTTTTACTTAAAATGAAACAGAGCCACTCCAGAAGAAGTGATTCAAGCCCTCTGAAATTACAAAGTCAAAATGAAATTATATTTTATTCACTTTAAAATTTTATGTGTCATACTACACGTAGTGGTGAGGATGAGCGCAAATGGAATCACAGTTCCAAGACCTGTGGGAATGACTTCCTCTGCTTCGTTTGCCCCTGCCCTCACCACTAATCAGTTCCTGACAGAAGCCATTTCTTTCACCTAAAAGGTATTCCCTCATTTTTTAAACTGTGTTCTTTCCTGCTTTTCAAATTCTTCTGAAATGATTTATTCCTTCCACCCATCCCTCTGCCTACCTATTCATTATCCTCACCTCCCCAGTTACTATTTGAGTACCAACCTCTGGTCACCCATCAAGAGAAACCATGTACCATCTTATGTTAGGTAAGATAGACATAGAACAACTCCACCAGCCCGCGGGTTGGTCAATTCTGTAAGATGACCAGCAGGGTATTGAAAATGCCTTCATCAAAACTGGGCTAGCATTCCCTTTTGTTTTGTTTTGTTTTCTGTTTTTTGCCTACATGAGAGACCAATCATCATCATCATCATCATCATCATCATCATCGTACATATTATTAGTTCTTAGTGATTTTACATGGTGGTCAAGGAATTCAGCCTAAATAACATTTAGGGAAATTTATTGAAGTTTGTGGTCTTCCATATGATCAAATTTGTTAAGTATTTCATAGACATTGGGAAAGTATGGGCGTACCATTATCTATACAAAGTTTTCCATATGGCTAGTTAACAAACTTATTTTATTCAAATCATCTAAATTCATTTTTAAAACTTTAACTGGATTTTTCAAAGACCTTTTGAAAAATGTTTAATTGTGGTAAAATACACATAAAATTTCCCATCTTAATCATTTTTAAGTGTACAGTTCAGTGGTATTAAGTACATTATCACATTGTTGTACTCTCATCACCACCATCCATCCACAGAACACTTCAACTTGAAAAACTGAACTTTGCACCCCTTAAATAATAATTCCCCTTCTCCCCTCCTCTAAGCTCCTGTCAATCACCATTCTGCTTTCTGTCTCTGTGAGTTTGACTACTCTGTGTATCTCATATAATTGAAATAATACAGATTTATCCTTTTGTGACTGGCTTATTTCATTTAGCATAATGTCCTCAAGGCTCATTCTTATATAGCATGTATCAGAATTTCCTTCCTTTTTAAGTATAAATAACATTCCATTGCATGTATATACCACATTTTGTTTATCCATTCATCCATCAATGAACACTTGGATATGGGAATAATGCTGCTCTGAACATTGGTGTACAAATTCTGTTTGAGTCCCTGTTTTCAATTCTTTGGGGTAGAAATGGAATTCCTGGGTCACATGGTAACTCTATGTTTAATTTTTTAGGAACTACCATACTGTTTTCCACAGCAGATATACCATTTTACATTTCCAAAAACAGGGCACAAGGGTTCCAATGTCTCCACATTCACACCACCACTTATTTTGTTTTCTGATGTAGCCATCCTAATGGATTCGAGGTGGTTATCTTATTGTAGTAATCTGTGAAAGGAAAGACCTTTTTAGAGGTATATTAAATCTTCCCATTACAATTGTGGTTTCATTCTTGTATCTAGTAAACAATTGTGCTTTATACATTTGACACTATGATTTTTGTGTGTGGAAAAGTTAATAACTATCACATATTCATGGTTTTTTGTAGCTTTTTGCCTGGCAAATCACCCTTATTGCTTGGCAAATTGCTTGTTAAATCAATCAAGAGGGAGCTTCACCTTGCCGATCAATCCCTGGGGCTTGTGGCTCCTCCTGTTGTCTTTCTCCACCTCAAAAGGAAATTAAAATTAGCACTCCACTCTCAAAGGGCTGTTACACACCACGTGAACCCTGTGACCAAAAAATAAGCTAACCACCGTTGAACCGTTAGTGCCTTTAACTCTCACCTGTCTGCTTTTGGATGCTGCAAGGTAGAAAAGCTGAAGTAACCTGCACCCTTTCACTACTCCCCACCTTCACTTGTTGTCATTCAGCCAGTCAATAAATACGTGAGCATAGCCAGACCTTGTGCTAGGTAGAAATGCAGCTGTGAACAAGATACACACAGTTCCCTCTTTCATAGATGTTACAGTAGAGAAAGGAGATGTTAAATATATAATTGCAAGTAAGGTAAGTCCTACAAAACATATGGTAAGTAGCGTAAAAGAGAAAGGCCTAGCCAGGGACATTCATCCCTGAGGAGGTGAAATTTCGATAGATATATAAAGGATCAGTCATTCAAGTCAGCCATTGAAGAGCTTCATGGTTAGGAGCACAGACCGTGGATCTGGACTGTCAGTCAGCATTCAAACCCTGCTCTGACACGAGTTAGCTGGAGGATTTTAGGTGAGTTGTTTAACTTCTCTGTAAATAATTGACATAGTTAATACCCATATCTGTTTCTGGCACATAGTAAGTACTCAGTAGGTGTTTATGATTCATTATTCACAAGTATGAGTGCTTAACGTGTGTCAGGCCCTGTGCTAGATGCTGAGCATATGATGATAAAAATAGTCACAGTGATTGCCTTCATGGTATTAGAGTCATTGGAATATACCTGGATGGGAAATAGACCTCCAAAAAGGTTACATTTGACAGTTTTTGGTTTTTTTAAATCTAAAGTCTCTAAAATGCGTCTACCCTTTAGCTCAACAATTACAACTCTGAGGATTTATCCTAAAGGAATAACCATGAATGTGTGCAAGGTTTTAGCTATTTCGTATACCAAAAATTTGAGAGCACCTAAGCGTCCCACAGGAAATTACTTAATTTAAATTACGATACAGCATATGGGATAGGATGTCATGCAATCATCAAGATATAGAGAAATTCTATTTGCTGACATGAGATGAAATTTAGCGTCATGTATGTGAATACCTTTTGCTAATCAGATACACTAATCCATAGGAAGCAAGAACAGAAGGATTTAAACCAAGATGGTAATGGTAATTGTCTCTAGGTGAGTACCCCAACTAGGAATCAATAGGAACCAACTCTGGTAAACTTGGTGGGAGGGGAAGAATTTACCAGAAAGAGCTGGAGTAACTCACAGAAAGAAAGGAAAAAGCTAACAACCAGGCTTTGGGTAGGACAGGGACAAGCTGTATCTGGCATGCAGGCAACAGAAGCAAGAGATGACAGCCTCTGCTACACTACGCAATTAGGAAACATCAACTCAGCCTCTCTCTCTCTCTCTCTCTCTCTCTCTCTCTCTCTCTCTCTCTCTCTGTGTGTGTGTGTGTGTGTGTGTGTGTGTGTTGTTTTCACCCCACTCAGATCCAGATCTCTAGAAGAGGCCGTCTGATTGGCCCACACTTGGTCATGGACCCCATGCCTGGCAGTTACAGCAGGACTGAGAGCCATGGGAGAGCCCCAGGGTCTAGGGCAAGAAGCAGGGGGAAAGGTGAAATCAACAGATACTCACGGTAATGGGATTTCAGGTATAGTACCTCCCTTTTTATTTTCTTTATCTGTAGTTTTAAAATTATTCTGTCATAGATATTGCTTTTGTAACAAAGAAAAACAAATTTTAATGTAATTTCAGAAACCTCAGAATGCAAACAACTTGCCAAGTTCCCTCAATGGGCTCTTTCACAACCTGTTTTCTTTTATGTTCCCTTACACATCTTCTATGACAAATCCCTTCCCCATAGCACCACACTCACCCATGTACCTACTTATCCACATGAATTATTTTTATGTGCTTATTTATTGATATAACAATGATACAGTGAGCACATAACACTACAAATAGGCACATAAAACTCCATTTCAACAATATAATAACAAAGAGATCCTGGAACTCATTACCTAATGCTAGAGTAGAATTTTGCAAATAATCACTAAAGACAATAGTAAGCATTTACTAAGTGCTTCCTCTACGCCAGATGCTAGACTGAATCCTTCACTTACATTATGTGACTTTAATGCAGTGGTTCTCAACCTTACTAATGCTGTGACCTCTTAATACAGTTCCTCATGTTGTGGTGACCCCCAACCATAAAATTATTTTTGTTGCTACTCTATAACTGTAATTTTGCTACTATTATGAATCATAATGTAAATATCTTTTTGTTTTCTGATGGTCTTAGGTGACCCCTGTGAAAGGGTCGTTCAACACCCAAAGGGGTCGTGACCCACAGGTTGAGAACCGCTGCTTTAATGTAATATGCACTGTTTGATGAAGAAACAGTTCCCTTCTCCAACGTAGCATTCTTGCTAGATTCTATCTTTTCTGAAAAATATATTCTTTCTCTTCCAAGAACCTCAAGGCTTTCCATTCTCAACAAGTACTCCATTTAAATTCTTTCACCATTCGTAAGTGGAAAACACGAGGTTGGATATTACTTATCTTTCTGTAGAGTTGAGGAAGCTACAGAAATGTAATTGCCTCAAAATTGCGCAGCTATCAGTGGTATCTGAACATCTCTCCATTTTTTGAGCTGAAGGCATTGAGAGAACAATTATTTCATTTTCAAGACATATTTTGTGGCCCTACTTTGTATTAGGCTTTGGTGCAGAGAATTAAAGACTGACTTACTCATGTACATCCACACTGGGTGCCAAGGCGCATGTGCCGGTTACCAGAAACAAGATGGAAACAGTTCCAGTCCCCACGATGCAGAGATCTTGCCTGTAATCAGGGCGATTACAGTCAAGGGTACCCAGGGAAGCATTTGCAAATGTGGCTTAAGAAATAGAAGTGAAAGTTATGTTTAAGGAATTGGAAGTGTGCAAGAACATGCCGAAGTGAGAACAAAAATATGGTAAATACACGTAGTCCAAACAAACTCTTGGGAGAGGGTGGAAGGTGCATATTGAGTATGGGAAAATGAGGAATTAGACTTCACAGACAGAGATAATAACCTGAGAATATTACAGGCCACCCTGAGAGAAGCAGTGCCTTCAGTGGAGGGACAGTCACTCCAAGGCAAACTTACAGGGAGAGAGAAAGAAATAAAAACCTAACCTCATCCCTCTACCTCCACTGATCCCCTACCAGATCTCCCACTGGCTATGCCAAAGAGGGAGAGTGTCTGTTGATACAATTTAGATGGGTCAGTTTCCTGGGCTGAGAGCAGGGTTAAGGGGGGTGGACAATAAATCTAAAGAGTGATCAGAAGATACCCAACACCTCTAGTTACGCTGCCCATTTCTGTCCCTTAACCAAGTCCTTTGGCCTATTTTGACATCAGTTTCTTTACCCTCCACAGAAGACCTCATCCAGGTCAACTCTAAGGCATCTCCCAGGGTCAGCACTATAGATAGAAAGAAGAGTCATGGGTCTGAACTATGCTTGTATTAAGAATTAGGGGAGATCTCCTTCCACCATCTACAAAGAGGCATTTTTTCCCACCACCTGAGGCATATTTGGTGTTAAACTTGCTGGATAGGAACACTCTTGACTGGTGCATGGAAGAGACTATGATAAACGACCACAATACCTGTGGACTAAAGCTCTGGGAATCCTAACCTTGGTGTGCATCTCAGGGGAGTCAGTCCCTCTCTTGCTGTAGCAGCCAGTAATCACAGTTAGACACCAAAGATCATATCTCCCCTTTAACCACAAATGTTATTTTAATACAAAATATAGTAATACCTTGGTTTGCAAGCATAATTCATTCCGGAAGTAAACTACTCATACTGCCAGACATCGCTGGTTTACCCCATTAAAATGTACTTACTTGGTTTGCAAGCATAATTCGTTCCAGAAACAAACTACTCTTATTGCAAGGCATTGCTCATTTACCATGTTAAAATGTATTAGAAATGTTTGCTCATCTTGCGGAACACTCGCAAACCATGTTACTTGCAAGCCAAGGTTTTACTGTAATTGAGGATCAAGGAGATGAAAGAGGAAGGGGAGATTATCATGATCACTATTGAAAGTGACCTCCACCAGTTTCTCTAAAGATGCTATGTAGTAATTACTACAGGGAAGACGTGTAAGACACCAGCTGGCTGGACCACCAGCCGACAGGGCTGAATAAAGGGATTGATGTTTACATGGTCTGCTACTGTCCAGTACAAAGCACGGTTGGCATGCACATTAATTGAAGAGGACTAGAACTTACCACTGTAAAGAGTGAGCAGGGTTGTTTTCCCCATCCAAACCTATAGGACATCTTTGTTTATTTTATCCACAACTTCCAAGATGCTTGCAGAGTTTCATGCTTTGACTTCTTGGCCTGAACAGATGGAAAAGGTGACATGGTAAGGAGGTTAAGCAGTGGGCACTGGAGTCAGGGTACCTGGTTATGTCCCTCATGTCGAGTGACCTTAACAAGTTACTTAACTTTTCTGCAGCTTAGTTCCTCCTCAATAAAATGAGGAAGTGCCGTCTCGTAGGATTTTGATGAGGATTAAAGTATTCAATAAAGAGCTAGTAAAGTTCATAAAGGTAAAACTGTACCTAATATATGAGAAGTGCTATTTGTGTCTAATAAAATAAATATTTCAATGGGAGGGCAAAGAACAGAATCCAGAAACCCTCTAACTTAAACCTCTGGGGATGGCACAGATGCCTAAATAAAATGGAAAAAACAAAGGTAATTTCTACTGGGCTTAAGCAAGTTCCCAAGTAAATTTGAAAGGGGATTTGCTATTGTTTTTTTAAATTTTTACAGATGTTAAGAAGTATTTTGCGTATGGTTTTCATCTATTACAATTGTTATACATTTATATTTATAGGTAAATATATATGCACATATATGGGCCAAAGTTCTCCAAGTGCATAACCTACTCCCTGGGGAGTGTCATTCACTTGTCATGGAAGGAATAATAAATCTGAAAGCACCTTAGGGTTTTGGTTCTAGGCCTTTTTCAGAAGACCTCAAATGAACCTAACTCTGGGATATGTTTCACCATTTACATATGAGGTAATATCTGAGTTTTATGGTGATCAGATGAGTTAACACAAGCAGAGCACTTAGAATAGTGCTTGGGATATGGTGAACACTCACAATGTGTTAGCTATCTTTCATTAGTAATTCCAATGTCCCTTCAAGGGTTAAATGGTGAGAGGGCACCTATTCCTTGCTCACAAAGGAAAGGACTGACTGGAGAAATTAGCTCGATGGGAAGCTCTTCCAGGGCTGAGAAAACAAAGACTGCTATAACCGTGGGAAATGTCCATACAAGAATTGCTGGTGAGGAGCTTGTTGGCATATCCCTGGATCCCAACACTGTACCTGTGCCCCTTACGTGGGCGCTGCAGCTCAGGGCTAGGTTGGGTATCCCTGCCTCTGCTGAGTGGAAGTTTCCTGAAGGTCTCCAGAAAGGCCAACATAATGGCTCTATGAGTGTTTAGCCCCACCCAAATCACATAACATGCTCAGGTTTGCAATTCCAAAAAGAACTAATCAAACAGAAATAGTCTCTGCCCTAGAAGCATTCACATTATAAAAAGCTTGAGGTATCAGAATCATTTACTTTACAATTTCTCATTTGTTGAGCCCTTTATCTAAACGAGTATGGTCATGTCTTTCTTTCTAAGAGAAACTTGGTTGCTGCAATAACTGCTGGCAGATGTCCTTAAAAAAACAAACAAACAAAAAAACAAACAAACAACAAAAAAAAACTTCCTGATTATCGCTCTTGGTCATCCAAAATTTCTACATTGCATTTTTTTGTTTTCTGTGGTGTTTTGCCCTCCATTACTTCATTTAAATAAATGCATTCATCGTTAGCTTAAACTATTTGGTGTGTTGCTCTTTTTAAAAAGTGTCTTGAGGTTAATCTTCTTTTTCTCTCTATCTCTCTCTCTTTTTTTTTTTCTTCTGTTAAACCAGTCAACCTCTTCTCAATTTTTGTGGCCTGGAAGTCTTTGGGAAATAGATAATAATTTCATTGTCAGTCAGGCTTAACCAAAAATATACTCATCCCCCTTCCCCCAATACAGGACACTAAGAGAAAAATTACCTGTTTCAAACTTAGCACAGATTAAAATGAGGGACTACCCTCTGAGAATTCATACTGCAATCTGATTCTCAACTAGATTTTTTAACCCCAATTCACAGTACCAAGGTAGTCTGATGATCCTTAAACTGAAACTGAAGCAAGAGACTATTAAAATAACCAAGAAAATTAAAATAAATAAATAAATAGATAGAATTTCTCAAAATAAAAGCATAATAACTGAAATTATAAATTCAATGGATAGGGTTAACAGCAGAAAAGACAAAGTTAAAGAGAGAATTAGAGAACTGGAAGCAAATAAATTATCTAGGATGAAGCTCAGAGATACAAAGAGATGGAAAACACAGAAAAAGAAGGTTGAGTACAGAAAATACAGTAAGGATGTCTAACACATATCTAATCAAAAGGAAAATGAGAGAGACAGAGACAGAGACAGAGAGAAATTGATTGAGAATGGTGGGACAGAGGCAATATTTGAAGAGAAAATGGCTGAGATTTTCAGAACTAATAAAATATACTACTT